ATCCTACTATAGTAGGTTACTACTAGGGTTATAGTTCGAACTTTTCCGTAAAACCAAAATTATCTTCGTACTTGATAGAAATATCAAAACCTGGCAAAATAATGTCAAAAAATTTTACGGCATTTCCTCTAACATAAGCAAACTCAAACCGCTGACTTCGAGCTCAATTATCTCGATTCCCGTGAAAGATATCAAACAGTGGTCAACTAATAAAATATTGGTGATATTATGATAAGCATTCTGTTAGAGGTTTTTTTTTATTCCGACAATAAGTTGTTTACAAGTTGTTTACAAGTTTACAAGTTACGGTATTCGCCTGTTTACAAGTTGTTTACAAGTTGGTTGTTTACGTTTTGTTTTCGTTGTTGTTTTTCATTTTATTTATTTATAACTATTTATTTATTTATTTATAACTTTATAACTATAACTATAACTTTATTTATAACATTTTATTTATTTTCACATGAACTTCCACTTCCAATTTTCCATCATCCAGATATTCATCTTCCAAAGTTCTCCATTCAATAAAATGGAGCCAACTAGCAAAATTGCGTCGATTGCCGCGCATTCCAAACACACTACTCGAAGACTTTGAATGACTTTTTTCCCGGTTTTTCGAGAATATTCTCAGGATATAATTAGTGTGAATTCTTGATTTCCCGTCACATTTGTGCATAAAAACGTTGCGAGGTGTTCGTTCTCTTTTTGAATAAATATTTTCCTGCAATTGAATTGACATACAAATATAATTTAAAAAATGAGCAATAAGACCTACCATTTGACTCCAAAATTTTCTTTTTCTGGACTATAGAGAAATTGCATTTTGAAGTTTCAGTTTTCCGATTTTGATTTATGTAAGAAGAAAGATTGATATTTCAGAAAATAATAACTAAAAGTTTTTAGTGCCCAGTTTTCTGATGATCCTTGAATTGATAAAATGAAAATGAGGTCTTTTGAAATTGAAAAAAAAAGAAAATTGAAAAGAGAAGAGACAAACAATTTAAGAATTAGCAAGGAAAACGGGAAATTTCAACACTGATAAGAATAAAATTGATTTGATTTCATGACGTAAAGAAGTGAGAATGGATTTTTTTAAAATAATTGTTTAAAAAGAGTTCTAGCATACCATATTACCCCAAGTTTTAAACTTTTGGGTGACTTTGGTTTGTAAGTAGCATATGATTGCAGTTTTGTTCATTTTTGAGATTCATTTCTGATTTTGAAGGTTCCAAGCTTTCGAATCTGAAGAAGAAAAAAACAATTATTGCGAAAGGAACTAACAAACACGCTATATCGAAAGACAATTTTTTAAATTCTTACT